GTCTTTACAATTACACAGGTTCTTGGAATAGATGAGAATTGTTTTATCAGGGAAAAAGAAGTTGTTAGATTTACAGTCGGATAAAGGATATTGTTTAGTAATGCCCAGAATTTAATAGAAGACTTTGACTTCTAGTAACTGGATCTTGAAAAGCTTCTAAAACTTGTCATGATGTTACATGTGAGCCCACACAAAAACTCAAAGTTGTCAAAGTTGAAGGCTATGCACAAAAAACTGATTCAATTCATGCACTCTAGTCCTCGCTTGGAGAAAACTCAAGCTGAGATTTCAGAATGTTGAAGTAGAACTATATGAACTCAGGAAATTAGGACCTGAGTTTGCAATTAGGAGCAACAAGACCATTATATATGTGAGAATGGTGTCTGTCAAGAAACTTGTTGCTGTATTTCATCTCTTTTTTCATTGTCACGCATTCTTTGCACCACTTTGCATCAACAAATAAGAATGCAAAATATAATTGTAAATTGAGTTGATAATAGGGAATAAAAAATGTTGTAACATGTAAGCTGTGCTCATCTTCTTATGCTGCATTTTCCAGATGTGTTTTTGTGGATGCTGGAGTTGCACCTATTGACATTGAAACCAAAAAGAGGAAAGAGGAAATGAAGCTAAAGGAGGCACAACAAAGATCCCTTGCCGAGCATGGTGAATTAGCACTAATTGCAGTTGATGGTCCACAATCTGTTACGCAAGAAAGGATAGCGTTGAGGCCCCCAATGCTACAGGTAAAAAGAGTTCCCTAAAGTATGACTTTTTGCTGACCGTTCATTGCCTTACATAGAAACATACAAATTAAGTTTTCCTCAGTTTATCTGGAGTTGGTGCCACCTTTTCTGTGAAAGCATCTGAGATTTGTAACGAGTTTTTCAGGCAATGAATTACTCAAAGTTTATATTAATTGTTACAAAAATTAATGTAAACAATTTTCTTTATTGATAACAAAATAACCTCTTTTTATTAGACCATGTAAGTTTTGTTCCTGGAATTTTTAATCTATAATCCAAGTTGTATTCGTCATCTTTTATAAATTTTAGAGGCTTTGGTTTCATTTCATTCTACCTACTTTATACGAGCAGCTTTACATAGAATTTTAATAGCTGGAGAGTTTACAGAAGTTGCAGCCTAAATACAGTTGCTATATGTTAAAGTCATACATCTCTTTTGATTAAAATTCCATTATTTCTCTTTTCTTTTTTTCTTTTTCTGTTTTAGGTGGTGCGATTAGCCTCATTTCAGCATGCCCCATCTGTGCCTCCTTTCTTAACATTGTCGAGACAATCTAAAGTTGATGGGGATGATTCAGGGATGCCAAAAGAGTTTGAAGAAAGAAAGGTTAATGAGGTAGCCGTTGGTGGTGGAGGGGTCTCAGTTGCAGTTACTCGTTTTCCAACAGAGCAGAAACGACCTGTGGGACCTCTGGTTGTGGTGGGTGTCAGAGATGGTGTTCTTTGGCTAATTGATAGGTATTGGGTTCCCTTTTTCAATAATCTATTTGTTAATACTGTATGCTGAATTAATTATGTTACCTGATAAGCATATGAATGTGAACATAAGCAATTTCCTTTCTTTTGTTCTATTCTGTTGTCATGTACAACTTCAAAGTACAAGCAAATTCAAACTCCTTGGAATAGTAGTGTTTGATGTTGCTTCATAGATTTGTGATTCTTGTCAAAAAGTTGAAAGTTAGGATTCACAATGAAGTATTATAGGGTAAGTAAAAGGATATAAGTACCCCTTAATTCAATAAATTATTTGAAAACGTTGTTGAGTTGAGTTGACTTGCCTTGTTTTTCTGTGCTCATTCCTCAACACTATGTAAAGTCAGCAATTGTTTGATTTGACTAGCTACCATAACTTTTGCTTTCAGTTCTGGTTCTATTTAAAAGAATGAAATGGTTATTACTTTCATATTATCCTTCTAGCGTAAATATCAATTGTAGAAGTTTCCGTGTATAACTCCTGAATATCTCCCTGGCAGATATATGAGTGCTCATGCCTTATCCCTAAGCCACCCTGGGATCCGCTGTCGGTGTCTTGCTGCTTATGGAGATGCAATTAGTGCTGTCAAGTGGTAACAATCTCTCTCTACTGTTTTATACAGATTTAACTATAATTATTTAATGCCACATGTTTTTCTTTTATTCAGGGCAAGTAGGCTTGGCAGAGAACATCATGATGATTTAGCTCAATTTTTGCTAGGCATGGGTTATGCTACTGAGGCACTTCATTTGCCTGGAATATCTAAGAGGTATGCCATAACTACACTCGCCCCTTTGTGTGTTTGATGTCGCAGTGCCTACTGTTGCTCTTCCTTTTTCTTTTTTCTTTTTTGTGCTTATTATTTCCATTTTGAGGGGATTCTTTTCTTTTTTGTCAATTACTGGCACTTCTGTGTTGAATCCTTTCTGTTATTATGGTGATAGCAAAACATCTCAGTTTGAACCATATAATTGATATCCCTGTTTTGTAGGTTAGAGTTTGATTTGGCCATGCAGAGCAATGATTTGAAAAGAGCTCTTCAATGCCTTCTTACAATGAGTAACAGTAGGGACTTGGGGCAAGAGAATACAGGATTTGATTTGAAGGACATTCTAACTGTAACAACTGCGAAAGAAAATATTCTGGAAGCTGTCCAAGGAATAGTGAAATTTGTCAAGGAGTTTTTGGATCTTATCGATGCTGCAGATGCTACTGGACAGGCTGAAATTGCTCGGGAAGCTCTTAAGAGATTGGGTGCTGCAGCTTCTGTAAAAGGAGCTTTACAGGGTCATGAATTAAGAGGACAAGCTCTGCGCCTAGCCAATCATGGAGAGTTGACACGGCTTAGTGTATGCTATCTGTATCTGAACATGCTTTTCTTACTTTTTTTTTGCCTTTCACTTCGACAATTAATCATTGTATGCAATATATGATTCGTTGTTGTCAACCTATTCATAATTGTCCTCTCTTGCATGCTATCCGTTCTCTAAGCAGTTTGATTGAGGTCTTCTAACAAAGAATTTCGACATTTTGTGTTTGATTGTTTCTTTGTACTCGTCTTCTATGTTTTCCAGATTATTCTTGTTGATGGGAATTTTTTGAACTCTTCTATTGTCATATCATACTTTCTAAAAACCGTTGCATGCACTGCAGAATTTGGTAAACAATTTAATATCAGTTGGCTCCGGACGTGAAGCAGCATTTGCAGCTGCAGTTTTGGGAGACAATGCCCTTATGGAGAAGGCGTGGCAGGATACTGGAATGCTTGCCGAGGCTGTGCTTCATGCCCATGTATGACATTTTATGCATGCTTATACATGTATCACAGATATTGTAACTTCGACCTGACCTCATGAATATTTGCAGGCTCATGGGAGACCAACATTGAAGAACTTGGTTCAGGCTTGGAATAAAATGCTACAAAGAGAGGTTGAGCATACGCCAACAATGAAAACTGATGCTGCTGCTGCATTTTTGGCTTCTCTGGAGGAACCGAAGCTCACAAGTTTAGCAGATGCTGCCAAGAAGCCGCCGATTGAAATTCTTCCTCCAGGGATGCCGTCTCTTTCAGCTCCTCCAATTTCTGTTCAAAAGAAACCAGCTCCTGGGGCTCAGAACTCACAGCAGCAACCAGGCAAGCCCTTGCTATTAGAAGCAGCCCATGCTACCACACCAGCACCTTCTAGTGAGCAACAACCATTAGAATCAGGTGAACCCACATCAAATGACAAGCCTCCCGTTTCATCAGCAGAGAGTGATCCAGCTAATCCAGCTCCGGCTGCTCTGGGAGAAAGTGTCCCAGAAACTTCTACAGGTAGTGCGGCACCATCAGATGCCCCACCCCAAGCGCCTCAATCAGAGGCCTCATCTCAAGGGCCGCAATCAGAGGCCCCATCCCAGGGGCCGCCATCAGAGACCCCATCCCAAGTGGTCCAATCAGAGGCTCCATGCCAAGCGGCCCAATCAGAGGCTCCATCCCAAGTGCCACAGTCGGAGGCCCCATCGCAAGCACCACAACCGGAGGCTCCATCCCCAGCTCCACAACCAGAGGCTCCATCCCAAGCACCACAATCTGAGGTCCCAATCCAAACACCACCTTTGGAAGTCCAACCAAAGCTACCACCACTTCAGAAAACCAGTTCTCAGCCATTGCCGGATCTATTTCGAATGTGAATAAACTGCCAAGTGTTGCAGAATCGCAGAAATTCTAATGATTCGTCCAGTAGAACCTCCATTGCATGTCATATGAAGAACTCATGGTCTATATTATATTCATTTTCGGGCAAAGCGGTGTCATGAAATAGTTAGTATTGTTCATATTTCTTGTAAGCTCAAGTTGTGTGTGTATTTTATTTTATCTTACCCTCTATCATTGAGCGTGTAATATTTTTTGGTATTTTGTCTTATCCTCTCTATCATTGAGCGTGTATTGATATTTTTCTTTTTACTCTATGCTGAGAGAGACTTGTTCCTCGGAAGATTTGTTTTTTCAACCCACATAAAAACAGAAACTGTAATTTAATACATCATCATTTCTCCACCTAGAGCCTTATTTTATGCCGTTGTGTTTTTTAATTTCTTAATTTACAGGTCTCTTTCGTCATTTACATGGAAACCCTCACAGGCAAGGTCAAAAGATTCATAGGAACTCGTATATAAATCAGTGACTTAAATAACGATTTTTATATAACTTTTAGCTGTCGATAAAGCATGACATTTTCCAGCAGTAAATTTAGGTTTTAGCTACAAAAAAAATTTCACTTCTGAAAAAAGCCAAAGTTTCTTTAAAAAAGACAGAAAAACCTCTCGACTTTCAAATCAAAGACATGCAAATGTAAAGGATTCCTTAGGAAATCCAAAAATAAATAAGAGCAATTTTGTCCATTTTGGCTTCTTTTGCAAAATTTCTCTCTTTTTTGTGTTTTTCCAAAGTCTCCCAGTCGTGTGAAATTAGAAAAACCACAACGGCATAGAAGAGAGCATCTCATAACAAGAAGTACTCAAGTTTTCAATCTACATATAGCCACTTTCTTTCATTCATGAACACAAAAATGACATCCATTGACTGATCATTAGAACCCACAAAAAATGTGAACTTAAAAGGACGTCTGACACCCCAATTCTCAAACCACCTGGTTTTGTCACTGTCCAGGCTTCGAGAGTAAACTGATTGAATATTAAGCCAAAGGTCAAATACCGCAGTTTCGGAACCTGAATATGCATGCCTACAGAAAAGGACCAAACAGTTGGCAGGGAGATACAACATGGCACTGTAACAACCTTATAAATAGAGTGAAGATAAATTTTTTAAAAAGTTGGGAGAAAAATCCACAACCTTTAGAAGCTGGTTGAAGCATATCAAGGGAACGTTCTTCAGTCTTCAGCCCATCCAACTCCAGTGACCATTCAAACACTTTAAAATGTGAAGAAAAAAAAGTTAAAACAGTTTTGAAGTGTATGAAATCAGATCGACCGACGTGTGCTCAACTCAATTCCTATGTTGAACTTTCTATCTCGTTAACAGTGAAATCAAGCACAAAAATGGTATGCCCAAACTGTTTATCTCGTTGTGCATTCCATTAATAAGCGTACACTTATGAGTTGAGTACCAAAACAAACATCAAAGATGTACTCAGAGTGGCACAATACAAGGAATAGATGGGGAGAAAAAGATAAAACACCCAGAAAAACAGGAACGGAAGTTTCATAATGCAAAGAAACAAATGAATGAACATTCAGAAGTTTCACAAGCCTTGGATTTAAATATACCTGTAGTATTTTTGATAAGAGGCACTTGTGGGTTCAAATCATCAAAGAGGGCTTACCACTTCATCTTGCAGGGTCCACTACATATGCCTGCAGTTTTGAACCATGAGAAAAAAATATTTCATCCCATAGAAGAAAAAGAGAATTAAAAACAACTGCCATCTTGTCTCACTTCACTTGATTGTGGGTGTTCTTTTTGGTGATTTTACTTTTGGGATCAACAATAGGTATTTAGTTTTTGCTTCTATTTCCAGTTATGGACTTGTTTAAGCTCATTAACAATTATTTCACTTGTAGTTAATGAGCACCAATTTAACCAGATTTATAATTGTGCTTCTAGATGGGGTGGGAAAAGGGCAAATATTTCTTGTAGGAGAAGGAACAAAGGGGAAAGGAATTAATACTCATAAACCGTAATCCAGCCCATATTCATTGTTTGCAACATTAAGCAACAAGTGAAAAAAAAAAAAGTCAAATAAATACTTCATCCAAATCAATTTTTGAACCCCAAATAGTAATAAGAAAATTCATTACAACCGCTAAATGCTTAGCCTAAATCTTTCGAATCACAGCCTTGTATTTTCCCACTTACAATTACATTATGACCACTGAACAAACTTGATTAACAAACATGATTTATGCAAAACTAATGAATTGTACCTCTATTAGATATTCCAATAGTCAAACACATTGTAAATCAGAAACTACATTTCATGACCACTGCATCAAAGAAACAGCAGATATTACTAGTAAGAACAAGTAATTAATATATGAAATCCAACAAATTGGATATCAGAATCATTTTCTAGTTAGTAGTTCAATCTGCCAATTTGAACGAAGTACAGGATTTAATATATCCCTTGTGAAAGAGAGTGATAAAATGTTTAATATAAAGTATAATCTTAATGAACAAAGAAAACTATTATCAATTCACTTACCACCATCAACCCTGCACATAACAACGCTACCAAAACCAAATTCCTGTCCATCAAGTTCACCATGATCATGGTGAGAGCGTTAGTAACCTCGCTTTTCATGTTTAGAACTTCCATTTATTTTTCTCTCTTTAATACTTCACTCTAACTCTACCAAACACGCATCTTCTGTAAACGGAAACAAATTTTACAAGAAAATGCATTTCCTCAAATAAATAGTGTCGTTATAATTGATCTTCCCTAAGAATACTAATTTTTGTTTTTGTAGCTGATACTAAAATATCAATACAATCCAAGTTCAACAAATCCAAAAAGCTTGAAAATGAAATTGTCTTGAAAAACATAACTAATATTTTCTGTTTCTAATCATTTCAACAATTTTGGATCTCTTGGATATAGATTATTATCACTATTTCACAAAACCTATGAAAACAAAACAAAACTGAATTCATTTAAGGAGTATAATGCAAAAGAACACAATTCCAGTATTTGGCAAACATACAAAGACACATGTCAAATTGTAAAATAAAAGATGATAGAAAACCAGTAACTGCAACCTAAGAATGAAAGATTATTTGCTATAATGCAACAACATTGATGATCTTGTTGGAATCTTGTGCTCTCCCTGCACCCTACTCAACTCTCCCAACCACATTGATGGTCATGCTATAACGGCCAAATCACCATGGCTCTCTGCACCCGCTGCAATGCCGTGGCACAATGGACATGTCTGACCCTTTGTTTAATATATTTTTCTATTTTATTAATCTTAAGAAAAAGAAGTTAAATAAAGCTAAATGGCAAAATTTAAATTTTAAAAATAAATAAATGTGAGAAGATAACAATGAAGGCAAAGAAAACAAGCATTCAGATTTGTCCCATTCCATTTGCACACTACATAAGATAACAACACCCTTCTTTTTCAAAAATTAACTCTCTTTTCCTTTCTTCTACTTCTGCCTCTTCTTCTTGTCTTCACTTGATTTGGGATCTTGCCTATGGTCATTGTATTTAATTAGGGTGTTGGTTTTATTTCTTTTGCTTCTAAATGTGTAGTGCAGAAGCTTGATAATGATATATACTTTCTGATCATATAATCAAGAATAATGGGACATGTTCTATAATTCCAGCTGAAACGGAGATGAAGAAGGGGTACCATGGAAGTCACCTTACTCCACCGCCAGTCCATTGTCATCCCTATCTACAATGTTAAGAAAATATCTCAATAATAATAGACTGAAATATATACTTTAACCATCAAATTTTGAATACTCAAATGGTAAAGAAGACATGAATTTTTTTTTAAACAGTAAATAACACCTGCATCAGGCACGGCACAGCCTACTATTTACCTACTATGCAATTACATTACAACCATTGAACAAACTCAGTTGAAGGACGATAAATTTATGTGCAATTGTTGCTTATTGAAGTTCTATTAGATTTCAGACATGTCTTCATCGGTCATTAAAAAAAAGATCGTCACAAAAAAAGTTCTATTAGATTTCCCAAAATGAGCGCATTAATTAATTATGAATCTTTCAAAATATGCAATTCAGTTAAGCTCATACAAATGATTCTGTAGCAAAGCGACAAAAAAATCGAAGTAAAAACAAGTAAATCATATGCATCATTCTAGCATTACTTAGATATCAAAATTAATCACCTGCAGGTTGATCAAATTCCAAAGATCTGGGCGAGCTGATAGGCTGTATGACAACAAGAGAGAGCACGCCCGTAAACATCCATGGCCCTTTCATGGGTGCCGACAAGCGTGCTCTCTCTCGTTGTCAAACAATGTCAATCATTGCTCAGTTCATGCATCAGTAACAGTAACTGAAAAAGTAAAGCACCCTGTTTTAACAACCGCAGCAATTGTCATGAAATCTGACATGGGAATTTCTACACATATATCAAGTCAAGATGCAAATAAATTTGAAGGTAAATAAAGAAAAGAAAGGGGAACACAAACACAAACATGTTGTGTGTGTGTGTGTGTGTATATCATCAACGAAATCTGAAATCTCCAATCTGTTGGAATCCCACATCGGTGGAGTGAAAGAAAACAAATGGGTTTAAATAGAATTACCACACTCTAACTAATACCGAGGCCTTTTGTGATAAAAACCCCACACCTGACGGATTGGGTGGGTGGTAAAGTGGAGACAGTATCGGTGTTGTTAGAGTGGGACCCAACGGGCAGATCCAAATTTTCAACATGGTATCAGAGCCAAGGCCCGTACAAGCTAACGACGCTTGTCATAAAAATAAAATTAAAAAAAAAAAACAAAACAAAACAAAAAAAACAAGTCGGACTCTTAAAAAATGCCAACGAAGCTTGAAAAGAGCCGACCTCTGAGTTCCATTGAAAACAAGTGGGCCCAATGAGAGCCGACCTCTGAGTTTCAATTGCCGATGTGTGGATCTTCACGTGTGATTACACGTGAGGGGGAGTGTTGGAATCCCACATCGGTGGAGTGAAAGAAAACAAATGGGTTTAAATAGAATTACCACACTCTAACTAATACCGAGGCCTTTTGTGATAAAAACCCCACACCTGACGGATTGGGCAGGTGGTAAAGTGGGGACAGTATCGGTGTTAGAGTGGGACCCAACGGGCAGATCCAAATTTTCAACACAACAAATATAAAGCCACAAAACAACAGCAGCATCACCCACAGAAATCGAAGCCTAGTATATCCTTGAACTAAGGAGAATTAAGACCTACTCTACAATTAGAAATCACAGATCAATAATGATCTAGAAACCAAAACATACAACATAAAATTGAGCGCACAGAGTATCACATGCAAACTACTATCAGAAACCTTAACTCGAGCTTCATGATAAGAAAATTTTCTAGAACCCCATGACAACTTTCATATTATACCTCCAATACTAGACTTGCAAACTTCTACTTTAGATCTCTCAACCAAAAAAAAAAAAAAATCAAGAGGAATTTAGCTGCCAATAAAATGTAGAAAAGAGGTTGAAAAATCGGAGAGTAATTATATATAAGCAAGTGAGCAAGGATCTTGTCCATCTCGAAAGCAAAGTAAGTTCCATCAAATCTAGAATCTAAGAATAAAAAGTTCCACCAAATTTTATGTTATCGTACTTGCTCAAACTGCTTTGTAAGTCAAACTTGGACTTCAAATCATAGATTGTTGCACAAATTATTAGCAACACACGCCTATCACATTAGCTATAATGCTCTTCATTCTTATGTCTTCTATAATTTTTTTCTTAAGATGAAAGCACTGTTCAGTGTTTTAGTTAGCATATTATAACAATTTCTTTTATATATATTATATATTGAAAAAATCTGTTATATATATTATATATTGAAAAAAGACCCTTATTTTTCAAATCTCAACTTTATTTCTTTCCCTTTCTATTCCTTTCCCTCTTTGTCTCACTTCACTTGATTAAGGGTGTTCTTTTTGGTTATTGTATTTTTGGAATGAACAATAGGTATTTAGTTTTTGCTTCTATTTCCAGTTATGGACTTGTTCAAGCTCATTAGCAATTATTTCATATTTAACCAGATTTATAATTGTGCTTCTAGATGGGGTGGGAAAAGGGCAAATATTTCCAGTAGGAGCAGGAACACAGAAGGGAAATGGAATACTCAAACCCTAATCCAGCCCACATACATTGTTTGCAACATTAAGCAACAAGTGAAAAAAAGAAAAAAAAAGAAGTCAAATAAATACTTCATCCAAATCAATTTTTGAATCCCAAATAGTAAAAAGAAAATTCATTACGACCACTAAATGCTTAGCCTAAATCTTTTGAATCACAGCCTTGTATTTTCCCACTGACTACATTATGACCACCGAACAAACTTGATTGACAAACATGATTTATGCAAAACTAATGAATTGTACTTCTATTAGATTTTCCAATAGTCAAACACATTTTAAATCAGAAACTACAATTCATTACGATCACTGCATCACAGAAACAGCAGACATTACTAGTAAGAACAAGTAATTAATATATGAAATCCAACAACAGTTGGATATCAGAATCATTTTCCAGTTAGTAGTTCAATCTGCCTTGAACGAAGTAAAGGATTTTATACATCCCTTGTGGAAAGAGTAGAGTGATAAAATGTTTAATATTAAAGTATAATCTCAATGAACAAAGAAAACTATTATCAATTCACTTACCACCATCAACCCCGCACATTCCAACGCTACCAAAACCTAATTCCTGTCCATCAAGTTCACCATGATCATGGTGAGAGCATTAGCAACCTTGCTTTTCATGTTTAGAACTTCCATTTATTTCTCTCTTTAATACTTCACTCTAACTCTACCAAACACACATCTTCTCTAAAAAGAAACAATTTTACAAGAAAATGCATTTCCTCACATATATAGTGTCGTTATAATTGATCTTCCCTAAGAATACTAATTTTTATTTTTGTAGCCGATACTAAAATATCAATACAAATTACAATCCAAGTTCAACAAATCCAAAAAGCTTGAAAATGAAATTGTCTTGAAAGGCATAACTAATGTTTTATGTTTCTAATCATTTCAACAATTTTGGATCTCTTGGATATAGATTATTATCACTATTTCACTATACCTATGAAAATAAAACTCAACTGAATTCATTTAAGGAGTATAATGCAAAAGAACACAATTCCAGTATTTGGCAAACATACAAAGACACATGTCAAATGGTAAAGTAAAAGATGATAGAAAACCAAAAACTGCAACCTAAGAATGAAAGATTATTTGCTATAATGCAACAACATTGATAATCTTGTTGGAATCTTGTGTTTTCCCTGCACCCTACTCAACTCCCCCAACCATATTGATGATCATGCTATAATGGCCAAATCACCATGGCTGTCCTGCACCCACTGCAATGCTGTGGCACAATGGACATGTCTGACCCTTTGTTTAATATATTTTTCTATTTTATTAATCTTAAGAAAAAGAAGTTAAATAAAGCTAAATGGCAAAATTTAAATTTTAAAAATAAATAAATGTGAGAAGATAACACTGAATGCAAAGAAAACAAGTAGTCAGATTTGTCCCATTCCATTTGCACACTACATAAGATAACAAAACCCTTCTTTTTCAAAAATTAACTCTCTTTTCCTTTCTTCTACTTCTGCCTCTTCTTCTTGTCTTTACTTCACTTGATTTGGGGTCTTGCCTATGGTCATTGTATTTTATTAGGGTGTTGGTTTTATTTATTTTGCTTCTAAATGTGTAGTGCAGAAGCATGATAATGATATGTACTTTCTGATCATATAATCAAGAATAACGGGACATGTTCTAAATTCCAGCTTAAACGGAGACGAAGAAGGGGTACC